AGTCTTCAGAGGTGTAACTTCAGGAGAAAATACATTCCCAGCCCAGGGCCTTCAACCTTTGAAGCCTAAATCAGTCAAAGGGAGAAATAAAGTGGGAGAAACCCATTTATTGCTTACAAACAGTTGTTCTCTACTTCTTGCCTGTGTGTCTTGTGACCCAGCTGCAAAAAGGGATCCCAACCAACCTCTCTGGTCCAGATATGCCCTCGCTTCCCAATGTAATCAGCTATTGATATGGAGATGGAGTACTTCTCTCCACCCCTTGGAAACACCTATTGATATGGAGATGAATTAAAGCCAGGCAAGAGATTCTGGAAGTATTGCAGTTTACACACAAGAGGCTACTGAGGTACAGAGAATTATTTTTCCTTAAATTAAATGACATCCCCCTTGTCCTCTTTATAATGGACTTTTATGCCCTCAGCCATGTAATCTGTCAGTTTCTGTTACTGTCCTTGAGCTGTGACTATGGAAAGAATGAAATGGTTAAACAGAAATTCAGTTCACTGTAGAAAACAAATGACACCAGAAATTCTACAGTTTAAGACTCATTTTATGAGCTTAAGTTTTTATCTTTGAAAGCATGTTATATTCTCATTAGATAGCTATTACCTGAACTCAAAGCCCAGTTTTAGTACCTGAATTTTGGTTTCATCATTAGTAAAGTTGAGATGTTGTTTACTTTACAGAGTTGCAGTGATGACTAAATAACACAGGGTATGTGAAAGTGTTTTGTAAGGTATAAAATACTAAATAAATAGCAGGCATATTATTGATAAGATTAAAAATAAAACATATCAATTCTTTAAATCTTAGGTCCTGTATTGAGGAGCTTTTAAAAGAAGAGCCTGGGCCCTGAACACTTAAGGCTTAGAAAAGGAAAGTAAGCCTGAAGCAAAGAAAATGCAAGGAAAGGGGAGTCTGAAGACACCCAAAAGACAAGCAATTCTTTTTAATTCTGCCTGTGGCCATGGCAGTGCCTACTTCCCTGTATATAAAACATAAATATTATGTAGGGTTAAGAGGGAAAGGTCCTCTCCAGCACACTCACACAAATTTAACTAAACCACAGCTAATTAAAAAAAAGTACAAGTTCAGAAACAATTTATAGTACATATTAAAACTTCCATTTTAACAGGTGAACTTTGTGCATTTGCAAATGAAGAAATTAACACCAATAAATTGCTTTGGATACAGTATTGTCAGTTGGGTGCTATATTAATTTACTGCACTAATTAACTTATTGTCTCACACCAAATCAATATGTCCTCTCTGGGATTAACTCATATTACCATGGACTATATATGACCCACCTTAACTCTATAAATATTCCTCAATATACAGAGAGATATTTTCAAGAACTTGTTTATGGTGCAAAAATTTCCATTATATGAACTATTATTCCAATGCATGTGATACCATGTTGTTCTAATTTCAGCATTCCTAATTTAACTAGCTTTTACTTGGAATTTTTTTTGGTTGGAAGAAACAAAGACATACTAAGTCCACTACATATTTCAAGGATGGGTATTAGTAAAAAAATGGAGATCTCACAGAATTCAGGCCTCATTGGAACAGGAAAGGGACTAGAGATAGGAAGTTCTTTCTATCTCTTAAAAATCAGAATTTCTTTGATCTCTGCCTCTCTTTTTTAATTGCTTCTCCATTTTGCTCTACCCCATGTGCCAGTCTTCTCTCAACTTACTTGTCTAAACTATAGCTCAGTATGGCTACCTCAGCTGAATTTCTGTGACCCTTATATCTCAAGTGCTGGTGACAAACAGCAAAGTATTACTTCAAATCTTGGAAAACTTAATTGTCTAAACCCATTCTAATTGATTAGTTTGTCTTCGGTAAGTTGTTTGTTCCAGATCCAACCAGTGAGAGGCAGATGAAACATGTGGTGCAAACATGATGACCTAGCTTTTCCCTACACCAAAGGTTGTAAACAGAGCCAGTTCATTTATAAGAGGGCATGAAAACCTTCTAATTTCAAAAGGCAGCATATATTTAGAAAGTTACTTCTCTCTCCACTTGTTAGAAGTCACTTAAAAGTAACAAGAATAAGAAACAGAAATACATATCCATATTCAACAAAAATCAGACAACTAAAACCACAAATAGATGAATAGATGAAATCACTACTAAAAAGTATTAGAGATCAAAGAGAAGTCTATAAAAATGTGGAGGGAGAATATACAGTGCTGTTGATCTCAGGAAAGTAAAATATCCAAGATTAAAGGCCCTCCATTTCAGTTACACTAAAATCCCTTATTTCCAACTGAACAGGCTGGCAATATGAGCTTTCAAGGAAGCAATTTGGTTTTGAGAATAAGAAGAGACAGTTCTAGGAGAGAAATGACTAGAAAAGGTATATTTGTAGAAATTTATCTTATGGTGATCAGCAAGGGAAAAAAGAAACAGCATTAACAGCCCCACAGCTTCATTTCTCCTTTGGCTGGGAAGAAGTCAAGGCTAAAAGAACCCAAATACAAATCCCTAGGCAACAGAAAATTCTTACTAGCCTGCATTCCAGGTCTGGCATCTTCATATAGAAAAATTTTACAAATAGCTCATCTGGGAAGAACTCCCTTTATTCAAAGATGAGTGGTCAACAAGGATATAGTTTAAGATATATTCAAAAACAATACATGAGAAAAAGAAAAGTGGGGAAAAGCAAAGCAAAACAAAACAAAATTACTCATGAGAAAAATGTTTCCATGGGGCAAATAAAAATTGTAACCAAATAAAAATGGCACTAAGCTACCTACCAACAAAAAGAAAGGAAATATTACTGATAATGTTTAAGAAAGAAAAATGGAAAAAATTAAATTATCACAGAAATGAAGGTGAAATTAAAAGTAACACACACATATACAAACAGAAATAGTAGACATGTTGAAATAACAATAAAGAAATAGAATACAAGTATAAAAAAATGTCAAGATGGAAGGGAAATAAAAATATGCTGTATGTCATTTATGTCTAGGATCAAATATATAATTTAAGCTGGCAAATTAAGTGTAACAGTTATAAACAAATATGGTGACAGAGAAAGAAATGAAAGGGATGGCAAAACATAATCTCATTGATCAAAGTTACAAGCCCACAGTAGCTAAAAAACAGAGGATTGAAAGCATTATATTAAAATGTCGTTTTAAAGATAACCACCAAACCAAAATATAAGATTTTCAAATTAACAAAAAAAAAACAATTCTCAAAATAAAGAAATTCAGAAAGATAGTGAAAGGTTTCAAAAATTCAGGCTAAAATATATAAATTATAACAAAATGAAAGACAGACATAATACTAAATATATTTTCCATAATCATAAATGTAAAAGGCTGTTTATCTATCAAAAGAAAAGTACTTTCAGAAAGCATCAGGCGAAAAAGCATGGGCTATATATAATATGTACTTCAAAAACACTAATTCAGAATGGCTGAAAATAAAAGGCTGGGCAAAGGCAAACACAAATAATTTAATATTAAAGAAAGTTTAATTCAGAACAAAAATATATTAAATCAAAATATAAAATGTTTTATTCTTAAAGAACACAATTTGCAATGAATATGTTACAAATACCTGTGTATCAAATAAAATAACACAAGCAGTGCAAGACGGCTCTGTGAGAAGACCCTGACCACACCTGCTTCCCTGGACACACTGGCTCTACTTCTACACAGAGCAATTCCTCCTGAAGAACTGAAGGATGACTGAGCAGTTTCTGTATAACAAATGACAGAAGGACCACATAGAGAAGGGTAGGAAAGATGGACACATGGTAATGGTTATCTACTAGCATAGAAAGAAATTACAAAACTTCTATTTATATATATTATAAATACAAATTTATGATATATATTCTATATAATTTCATATAAAATTTTAATTCTTATTTTTGTTTTATGACTTACAAAATTATATTTGTGTAGAACAAGTATATAACATAAATACATATATATTTATTGAGGGTATATAAGCAAAAATATATTGTTGATGGGGGTCACAGTCAAAAAACTACACTGTACCATGTTGCTTTGCCATGACATAGCATTCTTTCCAAAATACATAATGTATATGCATATTCACACACAGAATTAAAGAAAGAAACCTTCTAGGATCTTTGTCTACAGCCAGTAGATGATAAAACTTAACACAGACTGGCCTTGTTCTGTTCCCTCATAGGTGTAAACTAGGAAATCCTCTGCCTGGAGGCCTTTTCTCTAGAACTTTCCTCTGGGAGCTTCCAATCATAAATGCTATATTCCAGGCCTGCTATGCCTTCATCAACTTAGGTTTCTAGTTTCTCCATTAATGTCAAAGATAGTTCAAAAAGTGCCAGTTGGGACTCCAACATACATTATGTATGATATCAGGAATAAAAGAAATTTAAAGAAACAGAGAAACACTTATTTCAGGTATTTTGGAAATATTTCTTATGAAACTTATTTGAACCAAATTCCAAAATTAAAGAAAAAGTCTTGAAAAACAGCAGATTTTAAAAATAGATTCATGAAAACCTTTTGCAATGTTCCAGCATAGACATAGCAGCTGATCAAAGCCAGTTCTTGTCGCCCTTTGTTAAAAACAGAAATAACCAATTAGAACAGAGAACTAAGCAAATGGCAAGAAGTCAGTTAAAAAGAATTAAAAGAAGCAGCAGGGCATCATCAGATAAAGAATAAAAGGAATATGAAGGAAAAGGTAACAATCTCATGTCAGTTCAAACTGAACAGCCTATTCACAGCAGCAAACTCTTCTAAGACTTAGAAGGGAAAGGACTATTCAGAGGAAGCCTATTGGTTTAAGTCATCCTCAAATAAAAAACATAATTAATGCTGATAATGTAAACAGAACACTGAGAAAGTCAAGAATAAAGATCAGTGGGCTATTTTGGGGATCCAAGAATGATACACCTCAAAAAATCAAATTATCACTTTATTATATCCATTGCTCTCGCAAGGCAATAAAAATGAAGACAATAGTACTTGCTTCATCAGCATATATACTAATATACTAAAACTGAAATGAGACAGAAAAGATTCCTATAACCCCTGTGAAAGAACGACAAACAAATTCTTAAAGTGTGTTTCATATTTTTCTTTTTTCTTTTTCTCAAAAAGAAATGTGGGAAGGATGAATCAGAAACTAATGAGGTTAGTTAAATAGATGGGTTAAGTAGGAACAGAGTAGAAGGGGTTGTGGAGAACAAAGTCACTGTTTTCTGAATATATACTTATATATAGTTTTGAAATTGACTTTTTGAATCATGTTGATTTATGTACTCAAAAAATATTATTAGAAACACTAGAAGAATAAAACCTCAAGTAACAAAAGCAATATTACCTAACTATATCCCAAATTTTAAAAAATATTAAAACAACCACACTGAAGGGGAAAAATAGAACTAACATGAGTAACTTTTGAACACAGTAGTTTGCCCATATACCCTGAGTCTGGAGCCAAAGAGAACTATAAACAAATATGGAACTCTAATTAGGGGGTCTGTTTTTGATGGCAGTGTGAGTTAGTAATTCTGAAGCTACCTTCTGTGCTTGTAGAACTGAGAAAATGATTAAATATGTAGATTAAAGAAGCCAGATTTCTCACTGTTGGAGAAGAAGTTACAAATATGGAAAATAGAAAGCTAGAATGAATCCTGTGGTGCTGAACCAAAATGAAAGTTATCAGTATAAACTCAGAGATTTTAATGGATGGATAGAAAGATGATAGACAGATAACAGATAGATAGATGATGATAGATGATAGATAGATAGATAGATAGATAGATAGATACAGATAGATAGATAAATATAAGAGAAAAATTGATGTATGTAGATGTATTTGTATTTCTTAGCTCTGCCTGTTGAAAGGGCCTAGAAGCAAAAATACCCCAGCAGTAATGAGCATCCCCTAAATACTGATCTTGGTCTCTAAATACCATCCCCCATTGAAAGGAACTGGCCTCCATGGAAATAGAATTGACACTTAGTGTTGAGCCAGGGAAAGTAAAAGGCAAGCCTACAACATTATGTTGTTTCAGAGAGTAAAACAATGCTCAAAAAAAGGATAGAGATATGCTAAATGGAAACAGAAGCCAGTTGGAAGGGTTTCCCACTTAATAAATATGAAACGAATTCAGCATTAAAATAAAATGGAGATAGTAATAGAATACTGAGGGGATAAAAAGAAATCTATGAATCTATAGTTGTATAAAAAAATAAATGAATAAGTAAATTAATGGTAGAAGGAAAAATTGTTTCCCTATTTTACTAGTAAATGGAGAGAAAATAATGAAATTATAAAATCATCAAATATGTTTAAATTTAGCCAGCTGTACTCTGAAAGCTTAATGAGAACAGACATAAAAGTAGTGGCATCCACATAAGTAAGATAAAAGAGCTCCTGTTTAGCAGATAAATCAGCAAGAACATCACCACTGGCTTCTGTGGTGATCTCAGAAATGTGGGATTATACTTTAATAACTTATGCTTCTTGGATATTTAATAATTTCTAATATATCACTGATCACTTTATCATTTTTCTATAAGGTTACCTGAATATGTCTCAAATTCCTTTTGCTCCCATGGCACTCCAAAAACCATGAATCATCTATCTACCATATGTTAAATGTTTACCATTTTCTTTTTGCCAGAAGGTAGTTCCTATTCAAAGCTATTAGGTTAGCCACCTGGGAAAACAGATCACTAGGCCATGAGGATGACTTGATGGCTGCATATTCTATGATGATTACATGTCCTATACAGAAAATGTCTTTGTCGTTTTAAAGAAGCCATCTACAAACAATATTGAATGAGGATTCATTCAAGGAGCATTTGTAAAGGTAGCCATGGGCATACCTCCTGAGCTACAGCTAAGCAGTTAGAATCTTGATATGAGAAGCAAAAAGTAGGAAGACTCTGTAAGTAGGAATGACAGAGAGATGCTGAACATTGCCTAGAAGTAACTGAGACTGCACAGTACCACGGCTGAAATTACAAAAGAGACTGTAAATGCCATATGGGCCTAACCAAGGAGTCATTTGCTACAATGGTAATGGAGATGAGATGATTAAACTGTTAAAGTATTTACTAGACTCACTAGGGGACATCTGTTCTCTGGCTAATACTTTCTGCTATTCTTGTCAATGCTTAAGGGTAAATAGGGAAAAAATCTCTATATAAAAGCTGATTGGGTCTCAGAGAATAGACTAATTAAGTCTTAGGATTTATTCACTTTGCTCTGGGTAGGACAAATAGGAATCTGGTTTACACGAAATTTCCAAACAAAAATAATTCCAAACAAGAATTTTTTTTCTGTACTAATAATTATTTTTGCTTTGATTTCAGGCATTAGTAGGTACTTTCATGCTATCATGCAGCTGCTGCCTAGAAAGGACAAATGATGGTCCTATGCCAGAACACCTCATGGTCAGACTTTCTCAAGAAGCAGAATGATGAAAAGAAGTGATGATAAATTCTGACATGCCCTTCCAGCCTGCTGACAGTAATACAGACCTAACTGTTATTAAAATGACCACTGGAGGTGCCATGACCCTGAAATGGGAGGCTCACTTATGCAACAAACACAAAAAGCACCATCGCACAGAAATGAGTACTTCTTGTATATAACGACAAATTGCTTCTAAGAAAATCCAACAACAGGCAGTTCAACACTTAACTAGTGCTTGATTTGATGGGCCTGGATAGCACCAGTCAGTCAGCAGCAATCATAAATTTAATTTTCTGACATGGGGTGGGTACTCTCCCAAGCCTCAATCCTAGAGTTCAGCTTTTGCGTTGGATAGGATACCCTGCCTAACTCTCTATTTTTGATTCAAGAATCTTCCATTGTTTCTTTAATAATAATAAAAGAAATATTCCCACAATATCCAATATTTGGAAGCAACCCAAGTGCCCAGAAATAGATGAATGGATAAAGATGATGTGGTACATAAACACAATGGAATATTACTCAGCTATAAAAAAGAAGGACATTTTGCCATTTGCAACAATATGGGTGGACCTAGAGGGTATCATACTAGGTGAAATAAGTCAAACAGAAAAAGACAAGTACCATATTTCATTTATATATGGAATCTAAAAAACAAAACAAATAAACAGAAAAGAATTAAACCCATAAATACCAGCAACAGGCTGTTGGTACCATAGGGGAGGAGGTGAAGGGAATGAGTGAAATAGATGAAGGAGATGAAGAGGCACAAATTTCAAACTATAAAATAACTTAGTTATAGGAATGGAAGTACAGCATAGAGAATTTAACCAATATTATTGTGATATCTTGGTATGTTAGCAGATGGTAACTACACTTACCATGGGGAGCATTTAGTAATGTGTGTAATTATCGGGACACTATGTCGTACATCTGAAACTAATATAATATTGTAGATCACCTATATTCCACTAAAAAATCACATACACAAAAAAAAAGAAAAGAAATATTCTTGTGAAAGCCAAAATCAAACTGAAAGAAACATTTGTGGTATGTCAGTTTTTACATATCTGCAACCTTTTTTAAGTTTTAATTGTAAGTAAATATATACTTTTGTATTCAACTCTATATTCATAATTTTAAATTATTTTTCTTAGAGGTAGCCCCCAAACTGAATAAACTTCAGGCTTCATGAAACCTAGAGCAGTTGGCTATAATTCTGGGATGTTTGAAAATGACAGACTGACCTCGTTTCCCCATGGGTTCAAATATAGTTGAGGATATCTGGATTGAAATGTTATTTTATCTGTGAGATCTTCCTCTGAAGAAAACTGCATATAACTGAACAAATACTATCTAGTTAAACTCATTAATCACCTCAATACTTACAGTCCCAGGGAACTTATCTCAACAATTGAATTTATGTGTCCTCTTTAAAAAAAATCTTTATAACTTACTGTTCATCCCCTTTTCACCTTGGCTACCAGACTTGCTTATAAATGCAACTCCAATTAGTTTATCTCAAGTGTCTGTCAGTATTAACTCTTTTTATGCTACCTCTGTTTTGTTTATGACCTGAATTATGATACCATTTTATTTGTATAATAATATTATAACATAGCAACCCATCTCCATTATCTGCAAAAATGAAATCCATAATACATAAACATTCCTCCAAACCTGAAATAGTAGAAGGAAGGAGTCACTAACTGATCAGTTTCTATTTGCAGGTCAGTATCAGGAGTTACCTAGATAATCACCATACATTCAGCCATCTTTGACAAATTACATTTTAATGCTTACTCTATATCAATTACCAGAGGAAATGAACATTGTCCTAGTATTAGTCAAGAAATCAAGAGCACCTTTAAAAAGATGTTCTTTTTAAATTCTTTATTACCTATAGAACACAACACTGAGATTTGAACATAGTTGCTACTCAATAAATACCTGTGGGTTTACTATATAACTTAATATTTCAGAAGTGGAAAAAATAATCTTGGATCCAGAAATCCTTTATCTGAATCCTTGATCTGTGACTTTCTAGTTATGACTTCAGAAAAACCATCTAATCGCTGTGTATCTCTAGTTCTTCAATTATAAAATAGAATGACAGTTCCTCTCTACCTACCTAATAAGATTCTTATGAAATTGTGAGGCTGAAATATATGACAAGTGCTGGGGAAAGGGTGTGGTAGAGCTGACAATACGTGGTCCCTCCTTATAAACTAGTGGGAAAAACAGAAATTCATCCTTATAATTACCATGGTGGAGGACTCTGCATGGTATAGTAGAACAAAATGTCTGTATCTGCCTTTGGAGTCTGTGAGAGTTGAGAGAAGAAGCACATTTGAAGTGAAACTTGTAGTAAGAATTCAGCAGCAGATTAGAAGAAAAGGAAGTTCATTCCAGGTGGTGGGAATCACTCCTGCAAAAAACACAGTGGCTTGAGGATCCATGACATGTTTGGAATATATATAGTTTATAATTTGGGAAAGTGTAAATGGGGAAAAGGTTACACAGAGCACAAATTAGGGAAGAGGAAGTAGAAGACAACAGGAATGAATGAGCAGACAAGGTGAGATCATGAATAACCAACACTGGACACTATGTAAGAGTTTGGATTCCATAGTGGTGCTCTGGGACACC